CTAAGTGTCGTGCAAAACATCATTGAGAGTGGAGAATCATTTCTTAAATTCAGAAAGTTGTTTTGACCCATAGGGAGTTCGGTGCAGGGCCTCATAAGGGTAGTTAGACAATATTTTTGCTTCCAAATGCTCCTCTTTCTTAATGCATGAATGGATTTCATTGAGAGGGGGAATCATTTCTTAAATTCGGAAAGTTGATTCATCACCTTTGGAGTTAGGGGAAGGGCTCCAAAAGGGAAAATTAAACAATAGTTTGCTCCAAAATGCTACTCCTTCCTTATGTGTAGATAGATTTCAACCAAATTAGGCCTGAAACATTATCAGGAAGTGGCAATGACATCAAACATGCATGAGGTGAACCCAAAATTGTCCTTACCAAATCTAATTTTTTCGCTGCGGTCCAAAATCCCACATACCTCGTCTACAAATAATAGTCTGAACTACTTGCAGTTCAGTCTATTTTTCTTAGATGAGTTTCATTCACACCGATGAGAAAAATACTTTGATTTTTTTAAGGAAATGAAGTGACCAGTTGTTTTTTTTAGCCTGATTAAAACTTCAACATGGAAACCACAGCAGCCATTTTGTAACATGATTATGCAGCTGTTTTTCATGAACAGAAACTATCATTTATGTGTTTCTGATACTTTCAGGGAATGTTCAGAATTTGAATTTGTCAGATTTATCAGACCACCATCAGCAAATTGTGTAGTTTGTCCATCCATTAGTCAATCGTCAGATGACAGTTAACGGTCATGGCCCTCTTGTTTACATATATACTCATAAGGAAAAAATATCTCAATATCGTTAAAAGGTAAAACTTAAATAACATATTCCAGACTAAAAGAAGCAATTCAAGAATTCGCTGTTGCTCTGAATATGGGATCATCAGATTAAATGCCCATGTATAGAAACTTCCCCTGCTTAAAATCAAAATCAGATACTTGGGAAGAAAATGTGATAATGTTGAAATCGTGGAACAGTATCAACCAAGTTTGATATTTGTCATGCTTGATTGTTTAAAGTGTTGCCACAATGAAATGTCTAAAATCTCCATTTGAGAAGAGTTGCCAAACATATCAACTACTATTGGATGGAGGTGGAAGAAAGCCAACCAATGGAGGTATGATTCCTTAGTCTCACCATGTTACTGGCACTTGCACTAGGTATCTCTGAATCTCTCGAGGGAGAGGCTCTACCATCAAGTTTAAATAGTATTCTAGCTGGAGCTATCATATTCTTGGAGTGGTCAACGATAGCTTATTTCTAATAGGAAGGAGTAATGGCCCTGTTTGAGCTCAAATTGGTGACCTTTTCCTCACAAGGCAGACACACTACCGATAAAGATAAATTTCCACTAGACAAGACTGAATTAAGGTGACCTGGATTGCTTTTGTGTTACGAGGTTGAAATGGTTAGACTTACTGAACTTGGAACAAAACTTCCAGATACAGATGTGACAAAAGCTTAACAGCTTTTGACATGTGCAGTTTTAGAGGGTCATACCTATACAAAACCTAAAGGTTAACTATCACAAAGTTTCAGCATTTCTGGCTGACATAGGGTCAATGTACACACACATTTCCAAAAATATTATCCTATTTAATCCAGGTATAAAGGAATATATTCTATTGTTGGTTTAATGTAGTATCACTGACAGACATTCCTAAATTATCCATTATAAACTTAACATATGACATTTCCAACATTAGGTGCAAGCTCATTTGTGTATCATGGTCTTCACCATTTGGACTCTAAAACAGTCTTGTAATCTCTACTTTTACCCTACACCTTCCTTCACCGAGTTTTTGACAATTTTTATACAACAAGAAATTGAACAGAATTACCATCAGAAAAACAACACCACTTCATGCGTTATGTACAAACTATATATTTATTTCAGAATTTTCGAAATGACACAAAATACCAAAAATTTTGGCATTGTAATCGGTGATATATAGTCATTAATATTATCCTTAAAAATCATATAACATTTCTTCAATTCACATTTATTTACAGTCTTAATAAGTTATTAATCCATGCTGAGGTGAAAATTATACTTTTGATAGTGTTTACTTGAATAATTCCCTGAATACTTGTTTCAGGGATATTTATACCATTCCCTGAATTTCCAGATAGGAAAGTCACCTCTGCAAGTTCAAGGTTGAATAAATCTTGTTTTTATTTCTGTAAAGTGTAGTATATATAGAACTAGCATGATATTAATACAAAGTCTATCATGTCCTATTAGACTGACTTGTTCAATAGAATGTGCTTTGAACTGAACATAATGGTCAACCATCACCAAAATGTTCCTACAATTTATTCTCAAATTGTAATCAAACTTTAAAGAATCCAGCTAATCTTTCAAAAAAAATAAGGGTGGAGGGGGTGATTCATTTAAACAGGACATCTCTCCACAAATGCACTCAAAATTTTAAAAAATAGTTTTATGAGATTTAAAGAATGATAAGAGAGTATGCTAATTTATTTTTAAAGGTACTAAAACCGATATAATCAAGTGAGTTTAAAGATTTCTCTTGAAAAGCATTCCATAATTGTGATCCCTAGACTAGATCAATGGTTAAGAAATTAATGGATATTAGTTAACTAAATCATACAGCTGTTTGGTCTTTTCAGGACTTGCCAGTGATGCATAGGGCCTAAAGATCGAAACGTAGGAGACAACCAAAAATCAAAATTAATGGATATTAGTTAACTAAATCATACAGCTGTTTGGTCTTTTCAGGACTTGCCAGTGATGCATAGGGCCTAAAGATCGAAACGTAGGAGACAACCAAAAATCAAAATTAATGGATATTAGTTAACTAAATCATACAGCTGTTTGGTCTTTTCAGGACTTGCCAGTGATGCATAGGGCCTAAAGATCGAAACGTAGGAGACAACCAAAAATCAAAATTAATGGATATTAGTTAACTAAATCATACAGCTGTTTTGTCTTTTCAGGACTTGCCAGTGAGACAACCAAAAATCAAAATTAATGGATATTAGTTAACTAAATCATACAGCTGTTTGGTCTTTTCAGGACTTGCCAGTGATGCACTGGGCCTAAAGATCGAAACGTAGGAGACAACCAAAAATCAAAATTAATGGATATTAGTTAACTAAATCATACAGCTGTTTGGTCTTTTCAGGACTTGCCAGTGATGCACTGGGCCTAAAGATCGAAACGTAGGAGACAACCAAAAATCAAAATTGGACATAGTCTCAAAATAAACATTGGGTGATGCACATACATTCAGTAAATTTTGTTAATTTTCAACATTGAATAAATCTGAAAGTCACATATACACATGTCAATTTCACATTCTGACTGACCTTAAAAAAATATTTTGCTACAGAACATTCAACTCAGATAAACTGATACATATGTTTGATGTTTACACTTATTCCAGAAATTACTTCATGAAATCAAAACATCAAATGAAATGTCAAAAATATAAAATATACAATTATGGCAAAAGTGAAAAGCATGTAAAATACATGCATAGTGTATATAAATTTCAATAAGTTCATACCAAGATAACTTTGTCTCCTCCACAACAATTAAGTCTGAAACCAGCACTCCTTGATAATAAGTCCTAGAGGACATATACACACGACATTTTGTAAACATGTACGGTATATGTGAGCTTTGCTTCATCTGTACAACGCAGCATTTTTTCTAGCTTTTTTCTGCCTAAAACAAGCTATTTCTGGCCAAAAACACTCTTTAAATGTACAGGTTGTGTAAAATGCAGGTAGACAAAAACACCATAATGACATTTTACTGCATGGATTAGGATCATTTTCACACAATGGTAATGCACGGGAAGGATACCTCAAGCATGGTTTGTAGAAAAGATTATAAACAAAGCTACTCAAGTTTCAAATTGTAATCCTCTTAGATAATACCTTATGGTAATCAATACAGATCCTTAAAATGTGAATAATAAGTATATATATTATGTTCAGCAAGATTGAATTTTAGGATGTAAAAGCCAATATCTTGTTGCTATTCATAGAATTTACCATTTCATTTGTGAGCAAATTCTCATTCAATATCACTCAATAATTAAGCACATAAACTTCGAAAAAGTTTGTTTCAAAGATCTCATCATAGTCAATGCTGTCAAAAGCAAATTGATTTCTATACAGATCACTTCATATCACATTTTTAAAAAAAGAAGTAAGTATCAAAATCCTTCTTACGAGTTGGGTTTTTCAAATAATTAACCTTTGACCTCCTGACATAACTCTGACCTTTAAGGAGACAATGTTACAACTGTTGTTAACAACATTGTCTCTCTGTCAAATAACTTTGTGCATTTATAAGAAGTTTTACGACAAAATCGTAAACCATTAAAGTAAAAGTTGTGATTCAGAAATCTATTACACATCTATCTATTTGACCACTGTTCCTTGTTATAAACAAAGCTTAAAAATATGAACCTGAAATTGGACCATTTTCTGGAGATAATATTTAGATTCTGTCTCTTCAAAAGTATTATGATAAAATTCCTTTCATTTTCCATAGACCTTGGTTTTATGAAAAGATTTTACATAATCACAGTCTATTTTTTGAAGAATATGAAAGAGAATCTTGCTTTCAATACTGAACATGGCATAAAATAGTGTTTTCATAGGAGCTAGAGGTAACTTTGAAATTACAAAACTTCTGAAGTGCTTAGAACTACCAGAAAATGTAGCTTTAATCTACTGTCTGTATGCCTGAAATACAGATATACATTTTACAAGGCTAGCCAATTTTATCAATATTTCACCTACTTTCATCGAAAAAAATGAATAAAGTATACAGTTAAAAACCAATGTTTTGTAAACATGGTTGTATTCAATACTTTCATGTCTCTTGCTCTATAGTGATCAGTATGCTACATGACACATAAAATGTTCATACCAAAGTTTAAATAGATGTGAAACTTTCCTGATTGGAAAGATTGTGCAGCTGATATAATCATTGCTAAATCACGATTTCTTTGTCACTTAGGTTTGTTTAGCGACAGGGTGGTGAGTTGTATCCGCCGTCCAGAGGAAGAACGAATGTTAAGGCCTGCTATAGAAGCTTTAGGTTTGTCCGGATCAGCCTGGATGGAAGGAGCACTAGGTGAAACTTTGTCAACAGTTTGTGATGGTACAGCATCTGTGTTCAAAGACTTTTCTTCTGTAACTGAGTCTTTAGGCAGACCATCGTTTGAGGTTTCAAGAATAAGTTTAAGGTCACTGCTACAGGAATCAGTTTCCATGGTTATTGGGTCTTCACTCTAACATAGAAAAAAAAGCTTATTACAGGTGAAGCATGGTAACAGTTTAAACACAAAATTATAGATAAAAAAAATTCATAGATAATTATATAAGAATACAGGTAGAAAGCTAAAACAATTGAATTTAACAAAAATATCAAATAAGCTAATAGTTTAAAGGTGTAAACATTCAGTTTTATGAAGATCAAATAAGCTAATAGTTTAAAGGTGTAAACATTCAGTTTTATGAAGATCAAATAAGCTAATAGTTTAAAGGTGTAAACATTCAGTTTTATGAAGATCAAATAAGCTAATAGTTTAAAGGTCAAAGATCAAATAAGAAATAATATATGTAGAATCATTTGTAGATGTTCACTTCACACTTTTACACATATTTTGGTGGGACTATTATCAAATTTAAAAAAAAAAAAATTTTTTGTTTCAAAAAAAAAATGTTTGATTTCATAGACTCCTGATTTTGTGGATGAATGTAGCTTAATGAATCTACTAACACTCATTTGGCAGCTGGTGAACATGGGAGTTTATGGATTGAGAATAGCAATGAAATCCATGAAAATATATCTTCCATAAAAAATGAATGATTTTATAGGATTGAAGTTAATTTTTTGTTCTATCTGTTGTCAGTATCGTTTTACCACTTTGATTTAAAAGATTCTGGAAGTTGAATTTCGTTAATGAATACTGTAAGATAGACAAAAAAAAAGCCAGAAAGATTAGATAGTACTGAAATGGCTCCTGCTTCAGGCATCTAAACGCATTCTACTTAAATTGAGAAAATGAGGATTGAGTTCATACTCACCCGAGAACTATTAGACGATGGTGCAGGACTAGGCTGTGACTGTTTTTCATCTTTGGTGTCTATCTCCACGCTTTCAGATGCTGAAGGATCGGTCCCTTCCTCTGGTACATACACTTCTCCGATTTCTCCTTCATCAAATACCACCATGGTACAGTAGCCATCTGTGGAACTCACAAAGAGGAAACGACCATCTGGTGACCTTCAACAGAAAATTAACATTTCATACAAAAAATTCATTAGTAGTTACTTTTCATTTAATATTGATTTTTTGCAAAGTTTATTGCCCCTTGAAAACTTAAGTCATTTTGAGGCAGAATCTGAAGTAGAAGCAGGGAGCTACCTCACTGAACAACATACAGAAGGACCATCACTTGCCATCCAGACAAATTAAGATAAAATGTTTTGTTCATGGACATAACAATGACAGTTCCTTATGTTCCTTAGAAACACAATCTACCACAGGTAGAGAGCATCAAATCATACATTATGGATCTAAACCAATGAATGTGAAGGCTAACACTCTCCCAACAGAGCTTTCATAGTTCCCACGGTAACATCATAATAGTACGAAATTAACACTGGCAACATTAATATATACATGGTATCGGTAATAATAATAAACCATTAAAACACTGAAATACATAAGTGAAGAAATTGTCTAATCTATTTATATTGATCTAGTAAAAATTAACTTATCTAAGCATAACTTATCTTATCTACTCAAGATGACATTGTACATTTGTACTGATATAAAAGTTGTTGATATTCACTTTTTGTAAACATGCCTCAATTTACAATCTTTGCCAAACCAAAGTCAGAAAATCTTTCAGACATTTCTGTGAGAGGTCAGTATTTACTATAGAAACACCTTATTCAGACTACACAGTAAGCCGTTGAAAGACTATACATCTGCATTCTACCTGTGATATGACATCGTGTACAAATGAGTATGAAGATTGGTCACATGGTATTTTCCCGATGTCCTTCTGAACTACATATAATGTTGGTTTGTAATTTAAGTGGGACCCACTTTTATTCCATTCTTTGTTTGGTTTTGATATTCCCACAAAGTTTTTCTTAACCTTAACAGATATCACTCAGCTGAAGTATGTTTTAATCTTAGCTTTGCATAAATACTGAGTGAAAACTTTCTCAGAAATTTTCTGAATCTCATAATTTGACAAATGAAGCATACATTGGGGCTTTAATGCTGTTTAAAGGGAACTTTGCCAACACAAATATACACATAATGTAATGATATTCACATGACTGACTTAACACCTATTACATTTATGCAAACAATTATTTTTTTTTATTTTAATTGATTTTTTGCATAAATCTTTATCACAATATTCACTAGTACTGTCAACTTTTATCAATTTTATCATTTCATGGACAAAAAAATTTGTTTTCAGTACCCACAAAAATTGGGAAATAAAAATTCCATAAGAACAAATAACTTCCATAAACTTCCATTTAACTCTCAGAGTCGTATCAACTTTTGCTTCAAAGATGTGTTGAGTCAAAACTAATTATATGCAGACATCTACATGTCTTTTTAACGTCCGAAGTCTCTAATAATCCAGGCAATCGAAACCAATTGAGTCAGAGGTAAAATGAAAGCCTGGTGCCTGTGAACAACATTACAGGTCTCCATCCTCTTGACATTAAAGACAATTAGAATTATCTTTTGAATTCTAAACAGCAATCGATTTTAACTTACCAGGCGAGATCACTAAGCTGGTGATAATGTATGTTGCTGATGTATCCAAATGGTGCTGTCTGTTGTGTGTCATACAGTAAAATGGAGTCTTCGGTCCCTATAGCAAACACTATCCTGTATGGCAGGCTGTCGGCAAACAATCATGAAATTATCAAGGATTCCCTAGTCTGATTCACAGAATTGTGTGTTATCAAATTTTAATCATTTTTCATATTTACACATCATCTGTTGCTACTCCATGAAATTTGACAAAAAAAATCTCAAGAGCAAATATCTTTAAGATTGAGTGAAATCACTTCAATTATGGCTCACAATTAAGAAATTTATCAGTTTTGGGAGCCATAGGTAATCGTCAAATCAACAGGCTGTTTTTTCCAATTTCCAAATTATCAGCTATAAGAAACTATTAGTTTCTTTCTATCAATAGCTTGAAATATTCAGAAGTTAATGATAAATGCTACAGAAAATCAATTATCTTATCTCTCCATCTAGATAAATTGACAATATTTGTGTGTTAAATAAACCACTTTTCTCTTACCAGAATAATGTTGTGTACTTTTCCCATTCTTTTAAATTGTTATTTGTGTGATCTGAAGAGAAAAAATGTTATAAAATATTTAAATAGATACATTTTTTGTTGCCTTTTTTTCATAACAACAAAGACTTTAAGTCTCCTGCATAAAATATTTTTAAGCGAAATATAACTACCAAGATACAGGATAACACAATAACAATTTTCAGTGATAGTCTCCATATATTAGCTGATTTTGAACATTTCTATTTCATTGAATATTTACAAATTTTAGCAACTCAAAACTCAAATAGAACCTTCCACATTAAATTTATCAAACATAAATTGATGTATGTGAAATGAAATTACATTTGAAAAATATCCAAACCCTGCAGAACATGCAAACTATATATATATTTCTGTATTGCTTATTTCTATCGTACACATTATCGACTCAGAAATATCCATGATTAAATATGTGTTATATCATGCACAACTATCAGGTTTAACATGCTAAAAAAGGGTATCAGCAAAAACCATATCATTTAACCAGTATAATTAAATACCTGTTGTTCCATTTCGATGTATTTTGCGTAGTTGGTAAAGCAGAGGGCTGCACCTGGCACATATCGTGGCTTTTTTGGGACTGGGTAAATAGACAGCAGGCCTGAAATGCATATTGATACAATTTACATGTGAACATAATGCCCGGTCTGAAACACAACTAATTAGTGTATTATTACACTATCTACTTCATACTTGTACTTGCTATTGAACAAAGGCTTACAAAATGAACAAAAGGCCCATAGTGCCTGCTGCATAAAATTTAGTCCCCTTCACCCAAAGATGCTTCTGATCAATGTATGTAGACAAGTAGATATTGTAATTTAAAGAAGTCCTTCCTGGAAAAGTTTTTGGTTCTTTTTACATCAAGATAAATGAGATCCATTTTGAGAGCGATTGCTTGTGATTCATAAGCGAAAACAGGTCTACGGTTTTCTCTGAAAAATTATTGCAACAACTTGAGGTCAGATTTAAAATATTGTCTGTAATGTTAATGGAAATCAGCTATTGGTCAATACCCAGGGATTAACACTAATTACAATGGAGCCTGCTTAATATCATGTTTAATTCCTCGGAGGAAAATGTGAAAAGAAGTGGAACACGACAATACAGTTGACATGTTTTGTCAGATGTCTATACTGAAGGGTAATTTTCTGATGTGTCAAACTGACTTGTGTCTTACAGAAAATGTTTGAAGACCAAAATTTGTAGTCTGCTTTGTTTTTCCAATATGTGCAGTGATTTTCCTAACATTTGTTTGTTTAGTCTACGAAATATCTAACCTGTTATCGTAAATAGTTGGAAAGAATCAAGTCATATTCACAGTTTACAAATGGTCACTTTTTTATGTGAGGTGTCATCGGCTGATACTTTCCTGCATAATCCATTTATCTGTTATTGTATAGGCTTCATAATAGGGCATCATCACTGAGTTGATATATACACAGTGTATCCAGGGCTCTCACATCCCATTTTGGGACTGGGGCCCAGGGCCTTAGAATTGGGGAAAATAATGTTTTCATTTGAATTGGGAAAACTCGGGGTCTTCATTGGTAAAAAAAGTACTATTTTGCATTGGGAATTCGGCCCCAAATCTGGCAGATCGAGAGCCCTGGTATCTCTGCAATTTTGATAAAATGGGTTCTGAGGAGCACTTCAAATTCATCAAACATGGCTAACAAGAACAGCTGACAGTGATGAACTGTTCACCTTTGATACAGCACCTTTCATTGGCTGTTATATATATCAGTGGTAATTTTTATGGCCAATCAGATGTTGTGAAACATGTCATAGGGAAAACCCAGTTTTAGAACATTTTACAGTCATCTTACACATACTCACTATAATTTAAGCGATAAATGATTTGATGTCAGATAAAAATGTCAATGTTATGATGTGACCATATGGATTTTCAATCTTAATTCCATAAGATACATAAGTACCCTGAATGAATTGTTTGGGAAAAATTACTACATTATCAGCAACATTTATGTGTTAGACATGGCCCTTACAGCATTAATCCATCATTCTCTCCTCATTTTCCAGCGATTTAACTGTGTTTTTTGTGATAGTCATCAAAATGAAGTGATATTAAGTGTTGCCAACATGAAGATAAGAGACATTACCAGATGTTGGATTACATAGAATATAGCAGGGAAAGAAATATAATATTAACCAGAAAGTGACATTAACCAACATGATATCATGTGGTTTCCACTGTATTGCCTTGGCAGACCACAGGGCTATTAGATTTTGAGGTGAGGCAGCCCTATTGTGAGGCAGCTTGGACCTTGTCTTTTGAATCATGTCCACAAGAACCAAAGATGCAAAGCCTCTCTAGGGCCCAGAAAATATTTTGAATATACATACTTGCTAAAGTTGTGCCTAGAAAATAGATATGTTGAGTTGATAACTTTATCGCCAATCTCCATACATCCTGCTGGTGTTATCAAAATCTCGCCATCAGGAGAAAACACCAGTCGTCGAAAGAACGATCGCATAGTATCATCATGAAACATCCTGAAAGTTTTAGGTTTTTCTGGTTTAACGTCAGATTTTATTTCTGTGTCTGCCTCCTTTGGAGGTTGTGGAAGGCTCATCTTCACGATACTCTGTACACAGTTCCTGCTGGAGACGCTATACACACGACAGGATCTGAAAATAACATACAAGGTAAATATGGTGGTGTTAAAGATTTCGGAATACGAATGCAGTTTATTTAAAATTTCTAAATGCTATATGCTTTTGTGACATCAAACTATCAAATGAAGAAGATACACAGGTATATCTGACATGAATACCATCAGATTCGAGCAATGGAGGACTGACATACACCAACATCACCAAATTTTTTTGAAAGAGTCAATCAAAACTAAACCCACTCAAAAATATTCTCTTGCACATTATTACTATAAAATCCAATATTCTTGTGGGGCTCAATTTTCATGGTTTTCAAAAAAAAAACTTTTTCGTGGAGACTTGATTTAGCAGATACTTGTAGCTCAATAAATCTGCTCATACTATTGAATGAGGAGTACCCACAAAAAGATTGAAAATAAACCCCCCACAAAAAGTAACTGTTTCACAGCCATAAGCATATGAACCAGATGCCCAAGTGCCTTAACAGTCACCCGAGTTACAATGCTGTTGGTCTTCTTGTAAAAGGTTCCATCCCAAGTTTACACTTTTAGATTCTTTTAAAAAACTTTGGAAAGTTTGAGTTAACTCCTGAGGACACAATTCCCAATTGATCAATCTTCTTTCAATGTAGGACAAAAAGGCTCATTTTGTGGATCGCTCATGACAGTTTGTCATGCTTTAACTCAATTGTCCATACCTGTCTGTACATAAGGTTGCCACAAACTCATTTTTTGGGTCAAATGTTACACCCTGTACAAAGCTCTTATGTTCATTGAACATAGCTAACTTCTGGTCTGAAAAACAAAACAGAATAAAAAGGTCAAAATTCGAAGATTTCAAATGTGTATTAATGTATTTTTTTTCTAGTCCTGTGTAAAAATTGGATTAGCTACACCAAGATCCAAAATGATTTATTTTACTTTTGTTTTCTCATTATCTTTTTTTTTTTGTTTTTTGTTTTTTGAGTGCATTAAATACTGAATTATCAAGATAGTTTTACATAACATACATAGATTTAAATGGAAATCTCAAATTGCTCAGCAGGTTTTTATGTCACTTATATTTCAAAGGTTTGAAAGATACAGCAATGATTAGGAAAGTTCATGTTATGATTTGGTTTACACAATATTTTATTTTCAGATTTTCATTTACAACATACACATACACAAATTTATAAAATTGAAAATGGATCTGGCAACAAGATTATAAATCTTATATCAAGCCATCTGATTTACTCCTCACCTTTTACAAGATCCCATAGAATAGCACTGTTGTCAACGGAACCAGATATCATGTATTTGCTATCTGATGACCAGCACAAATCGTAAATATCCTCAAGGTGACCCCTGTAAGTCAAGCATTTTCAAACTGAGAAACTTCAGGGTTATTTTAGTTACCTTAGAAATTTGTTTCGGGTTACCTTCGGGTTACCAGAGAAAGTTTTGGGTTACTTTGGTGTTATGGGAGAAAATTTCAGGTTACCTTAGGGTTACCCTCAAGCTTTGTGAGTTACCTGACAACTTTTTGGGATACCTGAAAGTTTGTTCGGGTTATCAGAAAATTTCTAGATAACACTTGAACCTTGAGGGTTACCAGAGAAACATTTGGATTACATTAGAACTTTTTAAATTATTGGAGAAACTTTTTTTGTTTACCAATAACCTTTTGGCTACCAGATACACTTCTAGGTTACCTTAGAACTTTACAGGTAACAAGAGAAACTTCTGGGTTACCTTAGGGCTGTTCCAGAATTAAATGTTTAGAGGGGCTGAGAGGTGCTTAATCTTTTACTCCAACCAGTCATATAATAAAATTTATTCAATACCCAAGTAGAGTTGTTGCCAATTTCAGTAACCCACACAATTAAATTTGTTACTTTAGCAACCCCCACAGAATTTTATTTTCCACGTTAACACGACACCCATAAAATTTCATTCTCTTGCCCTTTTTTTACACAAAAATACATGTTGCTTCCCTGAGTAAAAATGTTGTCAGTTTTCTCACAAAATTGTCAGTATATTTTCCCAAACTTTATGAAAAGATCACTGAATATTTCCCTTTTTCTGCATGCATAAACACAACAAATATTGACATTTCAAAACAGAAAAAAAAATCAGTATGTTGCCACACATTTCAAACTGGGAAAGTTGTTAGTTTTCAATCTATTAGCTACCATATCTATACTGGAAGTTTGCAAGCAAGGAATGCAGTGGATGGAAGTACTTGTTATATGCCATTTTTATTTCATTTATTTCACACATTGTCAGTAATTTCTCGTCATGTCATTTCCAGGCAAAAATGTAATTTGCTTGTTACTAGTCTGCTACTATGTACTGATGTGGTTTTGTATCACAAACATGCCTTGTGGTTTTGTATCACAAACATGCTTTGAGTTAGCTTGACTACTACCAACAAAAGTGCTTATGCACAAATGGCCCCATTAAGGATTTGAGGCCATTTTGGCCAAGCCATATGGCCACCTCTTGAATATTCCAGTTATCCTTCACTATATATCCTACAAGAGTTTCAAAACCAACATGAGTAATCTGCTTTCAACTTTTGGATCACAATCAGAAAAATGAATTAATGATTTAATTTTGATCTCTTTCAAAATCAAACAACTGAATTGTTTGACCCACAAATTCTTGATTTTCTGTAACAAGTTAACTCCCACATTTTTATTTTTTGGGGTTCCCATTTAACCAGTCACCCATGCAATTCAATTTGTAAAGGCAACAATCACACAAAATACATTTGTGTTTTTCCCAACCTCACAAAAAAATAAATCATATGCCGCCCAATGCCCGACACATTCAATTCTGGAACTGCCCTTAGAACTTCAAAGCTAACAAAAAAAACTTTTGGGTTACTTTAGAACTTTGTGGGTGACAAGAGAAACTTTTGGGTTACCTTAGAACTTTTTGGGTGACAAGAGAAACTTTTGGGTTACCTTAGAACTTTGTGGGTGACCCAGCTCTCCTTGTTATCCTCCTCTTCCTCTTGGAAGATGCTGTTCGCTGGAGTAGACTGGTCACTCAGCTTCCAGAATATTATCACAGCATCTATAAATAGTACATGTCATTGGATAACATCATCATTTAACACATACCTTGTATATGTGACGGAATTAACAGATTCTACTCATCATTTACCACAGGTTTCTTTTCTATTTCCATATAGTGGGGTTTAAAATGCTGTACTAAAGAAGTTATGTGTGAGCAAATAAAATTGAGAGGGGAAAATTTGTGGGAATACAGTGCTATACTGTTAGAAGATCACTGGACCACAGCTATCAGAACTGCTTATTCAATGTACTGTTTTGAGGATATATATAGTCACAGTTGATAACAAGCAGAAAAGAACAAACCAAATATTATAATTTCATTATCATCATTATCATTTTTTTGTAGTTTCATACATTAATTAAACCTGTTTTAAACTCAAAAACAAAGAAATAGATCTTATTCCGAGTGATAAGACAGAACAATTAAACAAATTTTATTCATCACTCATGTCAGAGTGTGATAACCTTACCATCTCCAGCAGATGCCAGCATCTCACCTGAAAACAAACACCAAATCAAAAATGACATACATGAATAATTACTTGTTAACAGTGAACTCAGTTCCCACTAACCTAAGATTTTAAATACTTATTCATTTCCTTAAATATTAATGGATCTCTTATAATGTACCATTTGTACTTCATAAATCTAATCTGTTATGGGAACTCCTCAAGGCAGTTGTACTCCACAACGTACCAAAGTTTTCCAATTACCTATTAACTGGGTAGATAGAGTTTAAACACAAATTATAAGAGCATGAGAAAAAACAAATTACAGGATAAATTGTAAGACTGAAAAACAACTGTACCATCTGGAGAAAATCGGCACACATTGACAGCTTTAGTGTGACGTTTCAAGTTCGACAGGAATTCAACATTTCCTTTTCCATCTCCTCCAATTGTTACTTGCCACATCTGAAAACAAAACGTATAATTTAAACGTTGAAACAAGAGGCCCAGAGGGCCTATATCACTCACATTTTCTTTCACAGTATATGTTATAGTGCATTATGATCACCTATCAATACCTTTATAGAATGTTTGCATGCACATGTTTTAAACTGGCAGATAATTGTGACGGTGCACACAGGACTCTTACCTGTACATATAATTATGTTTCATATTTTGTGGAAATTGCATACCTATTATATGTATATATTTTATCAGTTGTCGGACGGCTGTTTATTAGGATTTCTAGGACTTGTCAGTAAGACTTTCCAAGACCTTTAGAACCAATGCTGTATATACCTAATATAATAAATAATACAATAATAGATCAGCTGTTTAATGTAATGAAAATTTCAATGCAAATAAACTCAACAATATCACACTGCCAACATTAACATGAAAATAACTAAGGTCCTTTATCATTTCTTTTTTCAAAATGATATATAACCTATGAACTATTTCAACAATTTCACATAATCATCGTAAAAATTATCTATACCAAGTATGCTGTTACATCGTTTAATACTGAATATAGTAATAATAACATAAATCTGTCTGATGGTAATTATCATTTCAATTTTACCTTATGAACAGTGAATATACATATCATTGTCACCCTTTCAGGAAATTCAAATTATTTTCATATCACGTTGCATATATTTTAGTGTCCTTTGATGTCTGGATAATTTCAGATTTACATTCTTTTTGATACAGACATTATTCAGCAAACTGTCAAAGCTTGCATTGATAATGGATGTTCTACAGTCTAAGTCACCAATATGCTTAAGCCTAAATGCAAACAATTACCAAGTACATTGGATCCTGCATAAGATACATGTCATACTAAAAGCATGCAGGATGAAAAGTATTTGAATGAAAAAAGAAACCAGCAACAATCTGAGCAGCAAGATTATCAACTGCTACAGTCTGAACAATGTATTTCTCATCAAAATCTGTACACAAAACGATGAAATTTGTAAAATAAACTGATTTGTCAAAAAAGGCAATAGGCCTGTTAAATTGATTACCATATCTTCTGGGTTATAAGTATTGTCTGGACATCGATTATGGACCATTAGGTATTTCAGAAGTCGTTCTATCAGGGTGTATCACATGCACTATTGCATGACCTTGCACCTTGATAATTTTGGTTGCTGTAACATGTCACGCTTCCAGAAGGAACCAAAAACAGTGACTTAAAAAAAAGATACAATTACACCAGTACAAGACTATCAAGTCTTTTAAGGAGTACCTGTCCATCACATGTTTATGATTGAAACAAGTCATCTAGAACTATCATTCGCAACTGTATACAGGATAATTTTAAGATTGAAATCAAAATAACATTCTTGTGGATTTAATTAATCATACCTTTTAATATGAATCACAATAATATCTTCTGAACTTTCATGGTTGCTTGGGAAGCCATAGCGAGTGTTTACAATAGTCTGTTGCATCCTGGGATCTATAGGTAATCAGGTCAAATTCTAGAAAGACCGCCATGCTTGTTTACGATTAGAATGGCTTTGCGTAACTTTCAAAAAATTATATGGGACTATAAGAATTTTGTCAGCATGCAAGGCCTTCGCTAATATCTCTAAAAGTACAGACAATGATGAAGATATCGTTAAGTAAACTGTACGTAATATCAGGCCCTATATCTGTGTGCAGACAATCTCTGAAAGCTCCCAAGTCAAATGAGTTTGATAATTGCTCATTTGTTAACTGATATGAAATGTTTCACTGATGATCTTGATTTTCTTTCATTCTTTAAAAGGTGTTTCTGGTTTCATTTTTATTTTTTAATTGAATAAAATAATTGAAATTGAATGGTTACAGTTTCACTAATTTTTTTAATTGTTCCAGAAGTTTGTTTTTAAAGCATATAGATGTACAATTTATGTCCATACATTATCATAAATTTGATATGGAATAATAAAAATGCTTTCTTTTCTAATCAGTGCCTACCCATCCATCCTAGAATTCGATACTTTGTTTTCGTCTGTAGAAATTGTAAATACATACACGAACAAACTTATCTACACCAGCTGTGGCAAGTCGTCGGATTTTCTGAGTTCCTGGTTGGAAATCCACACTATAAATAGGGTCTCTTTCATGCCATGATATCTCAGGTGTGGTTACTTTCATCTGAAATGAAAAGCAGAATTTAGAAGAAACATGTATATGTACTGGTAAGTCATCACATTTTACCCTTGATAACACTTGAACAACAATTGAAAAATATTTCCAGTTTTGTGTAAATTTTTTGTGATGCTTTTCAATTTCTACCACAATCAGTGGGTGTTATATAACTCCTAAGGCATCAATTAATCATTCCAAATGATGTATGATAAAATGTAAAAATGTTTGGATGTAACGTGTAACATACTAAACAAACTCTATTATTGGACATGTCGTGATAAACTTTTACAGCAGTGATATATCAAATCATAAATTCCATTTACATCAACATGAGTGTAAGATTTGATTTATCATTTAACCTGTGTAGCTGAAAAATAAGGAAAAACTCTTCTTTTTTTTCTTGTTTTCGTACACTATATACTTATTTTTGAAGTGTCTTACAATATTTATGATACCACTTTATGACATCATGTAAGCCACTTATGTGATAAATCTTGTTTCAGAAAGAAAGCTACATGTTCCAATTGCATTTGTACTTATATCTGGCAACATTTGTGTTTTGTTTGGTTGTTGGTTAATTTTGCCATGTTTACAGCTTCATTCATGTTTATGCAGGATGTTTTTGAAGTTAATGATGACTTCGAGGAACTTTTAACATACTAGAGGCATGTCCTATGCTATCAAATTCAATAAGGGTAAAACTAATGCCGAACCAGGGTAGAATTTTCCAGTCAAATATGGACAAAGAGATTTGACAATTATATAACTGCAATTTCATGTTTCGGTAATGGTATAAAAATAAATAACCTTAGAGACTCATGCATGTTACAGCGTTCAAGCAATATTTCCCTTATTTATAATAATGTGATGCCTATAATAATACACTGATAGATAAAATGTTTTTTTCGACAAACCTGCATATGATTTAAAACATTTACAGTCGTGAACTTCATACAAATGTATATAATCTCATTTTTTCATCAATCTATTGAGTTAACTTTTTGCAAAGTTAATGACACATCTCTGAAATTTTGTATTGGCAGCAATTTCAAAAATACGTTTTAAAAAGTGAAGCATCTTAAGATTTGATATGAAAACACTTATGTTTTGCTAATCAGATGTACATGTGTTTCACATTTCATTATTTACAGATATACTTCTGTACAGTCAACGACCATCGATGGATTGACAGTTTTATGGGTTAAAAAAGAAACGAACAATCGGCTAATTATGCTTCTATAAATGGGCTTACATGAAGAATATGCAGATCAATAATTTAAGATTAACTCTTTTAATTTCCGACCGGAATATCAAAACAATTTGCCGACCATGCCACCCGTCAATATATTGACATCGTGCCATCCATCCCCACTAATTATACAATGCAGTAAAAGACACATAAACAAAGACGAAAAGTTAAATAAATAAATATGAATTAGAGACAGCACTACAGCAATAATTATGGTGATGTAAATCATCAAAGCGTAAAAAACAAAAACAGCTGATAGTCATCAGCATATATATGTCTTTTCACAAAGCGATCATAGAGAACCGCGTGCATTTTCCCGATTATGTCAGACAAGTTTACTGAGCAGTACATATCATAAATGAGTATTGAAGTGATAAACTACATTTACCCTGTCTTCAGCGGCTAAAAGCCTCCTAAAGATTCCAGAAGAAGATAATTTTCTTTCAGTATTTCATTACAACAACACAAATTTGGCGGCAATTTCACGAATATATCTGTCGCTGTCAACGAAGCGCTTGATTGCATTAGAATATAATAACAAGAACCGGAACGGAATCCGGATAGTATCAAGCTGTTACTCCAATACACATGCTGAAAAAATTATCACGAATCTCTATGCTATATCTAAGTGTGTGATATACGTAAGAAAATACCATTTTGATGAGCACCAAAATTGGTGCAAGAGATATTCATTTCAGACGTAGGAGTTATGTGACCGCATGTTTCTTTACCACGTTTTGGATCTAAATTCTTTTGCATCAAAACCGACTCATGCAGGTCATTCCAAATATCGACGATTCTAAATGTGTAGGTTCCCTTTGGTCCTTTGCTCTGCCCATTTGATTTGATGAAAAAGGCTAACAAGCGGCTATCTTGAACTTTAACAATGAAATTTGTTATCGCTCTTCCTTGAGAAATGGACCTTTCTCAAATTTCATCCATAGGCTACCATCACGCGACCAACAATCGGCCATCTTGGATTTGATACTCAAAGATTATTATCGGTATTTCTTGAAAGATGTTTTCACATCCTATATAACCAAGAAAAAGAGGAACCGAGAGAAAAGAAGGAAAAGGGTTCAATTTAAAAGAACAAATAAAGATCAAACAATGGTGGGCGCCAAGATTCCTCTGGTTGAAAAAATATTGCATTGATTAATTAGGGAAGCTTTCGTTTACCCGATCGCATGTGGCACGGTTTCGTTTCGCAGAAAAGAACAGACCCACACCACCTTTTCGTACCAATATGACGGCCGATGACAAACTATACTAGACACTCCACTTTGAACATTTTTATTTTGTAACATTTCTAGTTTCTGATAAATTGTTTTCGGACATCAACAATAATAATGACTTAATAACAGCCTTATTTTTAAGAGCAACTAAAATACAATAAAACGACTGCAGATTTATCTATCTTTCAGCAAATAATAAAATAATGACAGACTTTTTTCCATATTAAAATCTCTCCTTCAAAGTCAATACAAGGTGAGGAAATTTCATAAGATAAATAGTGTATTAAGATAAAACATTACTGTTTAAATTTTCAGTTGTAAATCAATTTGCGTCAGTTTTCGTATTGGTTCCGTTGTTGTACACATTGTTCTCGTTCGAGTACGTGACATTACTTACTTAGATTGACCGATGTAAATGAAGCAGAAGACGCTTACTCTTCCGGAATACCTGGTCTTATTCTCCTTTTACTTTTTGAGGAGTCTGCGTGTAAACTTTTCTTTTGTTCGTACTATGTCCTAATTATTATGGAATTGGAGTTTGAATTATGTTAATGTTGTCATGTTGCTATTTTCTTGATGATTATTTTTGATGGCTGAATGAAAAATAGACTATGCCATTTTGCTCCTAGTGCCACCTAATACATATATACCAATTTTCACGAAAATCAGACGATATCTAAAATTTGGCCAAATTTTGACCACAGCTGACTGCTCAGATGACCGATCAATGGGCACTGAAAAATAGACTATGCCATTTTGCTCCTAGTGCCACCTAATACATATATACCAATTTTCACGAAAATCGGACAATATCTAAAATTTGGCCAAATTTTGACCACAGCTGACTGCTCAGATGACCGATCAATGGGCACTGAAAAATAGACTATGCCATTTTGCTCCTAGTGCCACCTAATACATATATATCAATTTTCACGAAAATCGGACAATATCTAAAATTTGGCCAAATTTTGACCACAGCTGACCGCTCAGATTACCGATTGGAAAAATTCAAGTGGCCTGCACTCCGTCCCACATATATGAATATGTGTGTAAAGTTTTGTTAAATTCCATGCAATAGTTTTTCAGAAACGCGTCGGAAACCTCGCCGGCGGAAGAAAGTGGAAGAAATAAGAATAATATAAATAAGAAGAAGAAGAAACAGAGCAAACACAATATGTCTCCCCACTTCGTTTGGGGGACATAACTACTATGCAGGATGGACAGTCAATTGCTTTAGCATAGAAGACCAGCTGTTAATGACTCTCATGAAATTAAGGCTCAACTGTAGGGATTTAGATTTAGCAGAGAGATTTAACACAAGCCGTGCAACTGTTTCAAATATCATAAATACTTACATTTCTGCTCTACATGAAATTTTATATGATGGTGTCTTGAAAGCTGTCGGTATACCTAGTCAGTTAAAATGTAAGGGGTCTATGCCAAAGTCTTTCAAAGACTTTAGTTCTGTCAGAATATCAATGGATGCTACAGAAGTTATTCAAGATGTTTCATCAGACATGATTTGTCAATCTCTTTCCTATAGTAACTATAAAAGTAGGCATGCTGTCAAACCTGTAACATGTGTAGCTCCAAATGCAGCATTGGTATATTGTTCTGATTTGTACCCTGGATCAACTTCTGATGCAGCCATTGTAGAACATTCCAGGTTACTTGCTAAAACCAGGGGACATGATACTGGCTGATAAGGGTTTCAATATTTTTGATAAACTACATCCTGGTGTTTCATTAAATATCCCTCCTTTCCTGTCAAACGAAGGTCATTTTACCAAAGAGGAGGCAGAACTTTGTTTTAAGATTGGAAGAAGTAGGATCCACATTGAGCGAGCAAATGAAAGAATAAAGAATTTTGAGATTTTAAATCACATACCAGCACAATACAAACATTTATCAACAAAACTTTTTCAAGTTTGCTGCCGTCTTGTCAATGTTCTGGTGCCATTGTTAAAGGAAATTGCAGATAAATATGAAATTGTCCAGTCTTGAAATGTCAGGTGTAGACCAGTCTGTTTTTCTATTTATAATTTAATATTTCTTGCACATTCTACTATTTTCTCAGCTTTAAATCTTGAGCTCAGCTCTTAAAAGGACATGTAAGCTAATATTTCCATACCAGCATTAGTGATGGGTTATCACTGGGTTAAGGTTTTTGCCTGCTGTTCTTAACGAATCAAGCATAAAAAGAATTCACTTAAAACTGTTTTCTCATGAAATACTGAAGGCATTCAAATTTAACTTCACACATGAGTTTGAGACCATATGGTACTTTATACATGTACTACTGTTAAGACATATACAGTAAGTCATGACAATCATTTAATAATTTCTTGTACTCTAGAAGTAATAACTATTTATTGTTTCATAATACTTTCACTGGAACATCTTATCTTACTGATCATTTATCTGTAGATGTACAATATCGTGATCATTATCTGTAGATGTACAATATCGTGATCATTATCTGTAGATGTACAATATCGTGATCATTATCTGTAGTTGTAAAGAATTTGTTGAGATGTTATCTATAGATATAAAAACATGTTGCAAATAGAGTTGTAGTACAATTTGACATTTTTTAAAAATTAAACTGCTTTAATGACAGTGATGGCAAGAACGTGATGAAATAAAAATCAATCAGAACAGAAATATTAGGTGTCCACATTTGATCTTTTGTTATCCTTATCACCTGAAAGTCTTTTGTTGTCCAGACAGCAAGGTCACAACATTGAGTCCCTGTCAGGTACAGCTGGCCCTGTATCTGGTGCCAGTAGTCATGTGACTGTTTTAGCACAATCTTTCCATCATCTGACATTTCTGAAACAGTACACATATTGGACTTAAAACTAAATAACAAATATTGGAATTAAAAATACACTGATCTGAGTAATCTCCATTACGTACCACATATGCGTGGTCATATACAGGCTAATATACACAGCCTATGTATCAAATTAATATAAACTTTTGTTAGAAACAGTTGAAAACAGGTGGGGAAGTTTCGAGTACCGGGTAGTCGTCTTTAGAACATAAATTATCTTGGCAAAAGGGAATTGTATATCTGTAACTTGACAGAAATTGAATATGTCAATCTGATACACATCTTTTAAGTGGTTTCAGTCTGAATATCTCCTTGAAATGAACAATTTAGTCTGACTGTTAGCAAAGTCACAGAGCTTTTAAAGAAGTTCTTAGTTACTTCTTACCCAGAAAAAATCTTTGATAGATTCACACGCCTCTAATATTGTCATGTCTCTGGCTGTGTATGGGCATTTCAACTCAACTATGTCTGGTGATGAAGTTAAGTGGTTTCTACACTGATGATGGATACTCCCATCATTCTTAAACTCTCCTTGTACAAATCCATCAGGTGATGCACCAAGTACCCCAGACTCATGCAGCCATATACCTGTATATAAGAAAAGCATGATCAAATCAGTAATTCAGGTACAATTTTATGTCTAGCAAATATTGTGATTAATAAAAAAACATATTTCAAAAAGAAACCTTCTACGTTCTGCCAGATAAGTTAAAAGTGTAAGTAAGACTTTTTCATGTGTACTGATCAATACTCCAAAACAGAGGCCAAGGTTGATAACGTTTAATCAAAATATGCCAGATTTGATACATTTAATAACGTCAGCCAAAGAATTAGATTACAAGTTACAAACTGCATACACATTGGTTTCAAACTTGCCTGTCTGCACCACAGTTACTCCTCCTTTCTTACAATATTCTTCAATCCCATTTTTTCATGAGCTACACCCCACTAGGCGCTCATTTCTCCAAATTGTATGCACTAAGGAGTCTTTTCTTCAAGGAAATTGACAACCCGGAAGTATGTTACTGACATTTTAAGTAAACATGAAATATAGCCACCTTGACATGTTTTTGCTCTTCAAAACAGCTCTACGGTTATTGTGAATATACATTAAAACAGGCATAGCTGCAAACTGTGTGAAATAAATGTCAGTAGTGATTCTTCTGAAAAATGTCTTAAAACTCTTATTTGTTGAACATGATAATGACACAACATTTTACATGATTAATCTTTCAGTTAGTTACTTTCATACAACTCGAATCCTTCAGAAAAGAATAAAAATATATCTACATAGTGAATTGTTCTACCTACTTTGATTTGCAGCAACAAGAATGTCTCCAAAATTTGATGCAGTAAAGCGCAATTTCCT